TCACTGCTGCTCTCTGCTTGTGCAGGGTGACTGGTCTTGTCTCCGCCCCCTCCTGTAATAAAGACCGCTCACTGCTGCTCTCTTTTCTTGTGCAGGGTGACTGGTCTTGTCTCCGCACCCTCCTGTAATAAAGACCGCTCACTGCTGCTCTCTCTGCTTGTGCAGGGTGACTGGTCTTGTCTCCGCCCCCTCCTGTAATATAGACCGGTCACTGCTGCTCTCTCCTTGTGCAGGGTGACTGGTCTTGTCTCCGCCCCCTCCTGTAATATAGACCGGTCACTGCTGCTCTCTCCTTGTGCAGGGTGACTGGTCTTGTCTCCGCCCCCTCCTACATTTGCTGGCTGGCTCCCTCCCACAGCCCTGCTCTCTGCACAGGCCATGTACAGCAGAGTGATTATGTCACTGCTACTTTTATACGTGTGCTTGTGCTATCTGGTCCCCGACATTCCCCTCATGCTGACTACACTCCTCTTTTGGATTCTGAGAGGACCTCGCTGCCAGACAACCAATTGGAAGCGTCCATGTCAAGCATGCATGTGCACCCAAATGAGGACCCCCATCTCCTGCAGAGAGAAGACTCTGGACTGGAGCATCACTTGTCGGATTCTATTATCCGACCCATCAGGCTCCCAGCTGTCTACGTCACATGTAGCACCGCCAGGCAATGTCATTGATTGACTGTGGCTCCTTCAGGGAGAGCCTCGCTGTCATTGCCATTGACTGAAGGTCAGACTGGAAGGAGTGCTTGCAAAATGATGTGATGCAGTGTGGCTGAGTATGGGGCAGTGCAGAGCCCACAACAAGCGAGAGGTGGTCATGTATGTAGGAGCACTGAGTGGGATTCAGTTGTTGCTACTTTTATTTGTTGCATTAGGGCAAATGTATGTAATGTAGTATCACATTGTGGCCACTAGATGGAGCTAGGGAGCATAGGAAGTACTTATTTCCTATGCTCCTCAGCTCCATCCAGTGGCCATAATGTGGTATTACATGACATTCGATCTGACAAGTAAATATACTAAGAACATTCGTTTTTGTCCCTACTCGCACCGGGTGAATGACTCTGCAAAGTGTTTAGAAGTAGACCCCATTAACTTGTGAATGTTCTCCAGAATTGATATGTGACATTGATCATTCGCCAGGTACACCCCATACCCAAACCTGTACCCCGACCAATCGCCTAGCGAGGAGTGGACGATGGAGGAACGCTTCCGCCCTTTGACCTTCCACGGCATTATCCTGCGCTCCCAGCTGGTGACGTTACTAGTCCGGGGTGTCTGCTACTCCGAAACACAGTCCGTAAGTGCTGCCAGAACCTCCGTCTTTAAATATGAGTCCGTCCTTCTCTCAGTACCTTTTTGTGTCGGGTTGGCTTGGGCTCGGAAGTTTCAGTGACGACCATTTTGGCACCAATAGGAGAACATTTACTATTGATAATTACCTGTTGCAGAAAATCGGGCCGCCTTTTATAAGGGTTTCTGCTGAAGCCAAAGCCCAAAGATCGCACCCGCACATGACCGAGAGGAAAACATGATAGCTGGCAGAGAAAGCCGGGAACTGTGCAAGGCAGGCCAGTGACTGTACGGATTAGGAAGCGAGGGGATCAATGATGATTGATGTCATTCAGACAGGCGGGCTCAAGGTAGCCGCTGCAGTTTGAAAGGTTTATAGTGTGGAGATGCACCTCCACAGGGAATTGGGTAATTGGTCTCAACACAGGAGAGGACTTGTTACAAGTCTGGGGGGAAAAAGGTAAGGCCGGCGTTGAATGTTAATATTAGGGATGCACTGATACCGGTTTTTCGGTATGGAGTATGAGTACCAATATTTTTCCCTGATACTATTAAAAGTGAACTATGGGGTTAGGGCTTTTCCCCATAGTTCTCCTAAGGGTCACGGGAGGACATATACTAGCGTCCTCCCGTGATACCGGGAGCTACGACTCGCAGTATTTTGGGACCGCCACACCCGGGACGGATCTGACATTACTGTCGAGAGCCACCCAGCTGCGTAAAAGTGACAGCTGGCTCCTCCTATCTAGAGGCAGAGCCAGCTGTACCCGCCTCCTCCCCCGTCCGTTCCTCCAGTCAGCGATGGAATCCCCGCAGGGAGCCGTGAGTGACAATCAACCGCTCACTGCAGGGAGATGATTGAGAAGTGAGCGAGCGACGGTAGGTGTTCCCTCACTTCACGATCTATTGAGCCGACGTGTGACAGTCTCATTGTCACACGTCGGCTCAAACTATGAGGCTGAGTGAAAATCACTCCCCTCATAGTTCTCCTTTTAAGGAAGCCGGGCGGCATGTAATGACTCGCCACCCGGCTTCCCGATCAGCAAGGAAGACGGCTCCATGCTCCCTCGTCACCAGGTGACAAGGCTGCATGGAGCCGGCTTCCCGGCCAATCAGGAAGCCGGGCGTGGTGTAATGATGTGTTTCCCGGCTTCTTGATTGTCCAGAAAGCTGACTTCATGCTGGTGACAAGCATGGAGCCGGCTTCCCGGCCAATCAGGGAGACGGACACCGTGTAATGACGCGCCGCCCGGCTTCCTGATACCGGAAGCTCAAGTATCGGGCCAGGCATTGGAGCATTTGGGCGAGTACGAGTACTCGGCACCAGTACTAGTATCGGTTAGGGATGCACCGATACCAGTATCGGTGCCGATACCAAGTATTTGGGTGAGTACTCGTACTCGCCCAAATGCTCCGATATCTAGCACGAGTACTTCCTGCATCAGGAAGCCGGGCAGCGCATCATTACTCGCTGCCCGGTTTCCTGATTGGCCAGGAAACGGCTCCATGCTCTCTCGTCACTTGTGATGAGAGAGCATGTAGCCGACTTCCCGGCCAATCAGGAAGCCGGGTAGCGTTCAATGACGACGCCGTGTAATGACGCAGCGCCGGGCATTCTGATTGGCCGGGAAGCCGGCGTCATGCTCCCTCGTCATCTCATGAATCATAATATTAAGAAAGTGACCTTAAAGCATTAGTTTCTATTGCTTTAGAAAAAATGTGACCTGTCCCTTTAAGAAAAAGTATCGGTAATTGGTATCGGCGAGTACTTGAGCAAAAGTATCGGTACTCGTACTCCGTCTTAAAAAAGTGGTATCGGTGCATCCCTAGTTTAATAGATTGTTTTTAATGTTTCAGAGTGCTAGCCAGCCCCGCCTCAGCCACGCAGAGATGTTGGAGGATTACCCGCGTTACCCCGACATCCATGACGTCAACCTGACGCTCCTCAATCCGCGGATGATTGTGGTGAGTAGAAAAAGAAGAAAAGGAATTGTAGGAAGTAACATTTATTTACACGGCTCTGTTCTATAGAGTCCGTCTCCACCCACAGCTGCATAAACCTCCCTCCTCCATCTCTACGTTCACCCCTGGGAGGGAGGAGGAGAAGCCCTGTGTAAAGTTCTAATTCAATCCAAGCCGGAGCATACACATGCCTGAGAACTGTCCCCATGTAACGGTGCCGGTGCCTTAGTGGGCAATCGCTGAGCATTGTCACGTGGGAGGATAGGGACAGTCACACGCTCCCCTCGGCTGGAGCTGCAGATCATGGGGTCCCAAAGCAAAAATGTGATGGGGGGGGGCCCTGATTACTTTCTTTCTGAGCTGTGAGTAACGATGCCAAGACCCCAAAATTCTTCTCTTGTGCTTCTGAAGTCGTCTCTGCCCTGTAGACTTTACATGGGATTAGAGTTGTCATCAACTGCAACCACCCCGACCCTCAATGACGCAGTACTGGTATTATCTTCACATCTTCCATGTTTAATTTGTCTCAACAACCCAATGGGGGGCCCCCTTCCACCCCCAGGACCCATAGCAGTCGCCTGGGCTGCTATAGCCATAGCCAGGCCACTGTGGCTCCCCTATAGGCAGCTGCATGGGATCAGCTTTCAAGCGAACTTGTTGCTTTACATTTAAAGTGAACCTGTCTGCGAGTGTCACCCTATCTGGGATGGATATGTGAATAGAATGACCTGGAGAATATGCTGCTGCACTACCCACCACCACCACACCACCACCAGTCATGTGACCAAAACCTTATAGCTCGGGTCATGTGATCTCTGCTAAAGGGTAGAATCAGCCAGTCTTACCTCAGATCTTCTCTAACAAAGATCACCAAATACCTAGGCTGGCTTTTGGTCACATGACCAGGACTATAGGTAGCCTGAGCAACAACTTTTGGGGAACTGTAAGCATTTCTGTTGTTCTTCTGTCTTAGCAGCTGAACTTTAATCTGCTCATATTTTCCCTGCC